TAAAAGAAAAAAAAAAAAAAAAGAAAAACGAAATTGCATTGGGATTTTAACTGTGTTGGTTTATTTATTAATGTTTATTTATTAGTGGTATTTTAACTGTTGGTTTATTAATTTATAAAATTATTAATGTTAGTAGAAATGTAAAGCTTTTAGGAATTTTGTTTTATCATTGTCTGTAAATGTAGGGAATGTTCCAGAAACTAGTAGAAAACTATAATTTGTTGTGGCTTTTGATATATGCAAACTATATTTATCTTGCAGGATCCCAGTACCCAATTTAGTGGATAGCTGGGCATCACTGTTAATACTTCTGAAAGACTCTGTACAACTGAGTCTTCCAGCTCCAGGGCAGTTTCTTATACTTGGGTAAGCAATTTCACTTAAAAATATTATTTCAAATAAAAGGATAATGTTCATTGTCCTTATTGTCCACTATTAATAACAGCTGTTTTAGATGACAGTGTGATCTCTCTACCTTTTCACACTGTTTTTGAGATGCAAAACTGGATGTATAAAGCCTGTTTTGTTTTTGCTTTTTTTTAAAGAGTGAGGGGCAGGGTAAGAAGAGGAAATACTCTTATGTTTATACATATACAGAATGTAAATACACTAACATAAAACTGTTACAACAGCAGTTTTGGTGGTGGTGGAGAGTATGGGATGGAAAGGGGAAGGGCTCACGTAGTGTGTCTGAAGGGGAACTTCATAGAGGAGGGACACTTGAGCTGAATCCCAAACCTAAACAAGCTGGAAAACTTTTTCTTTCTTTGTCTTGGAGTTTCCTGATTTATCTTAATGATTTATGTGATTATCTGATAAATGCTAGTCACCTATGACTGCAAGTACTGTGATGCCATACACAGTCTCTGTTTTTTGCTTGCCATTATTCTTGATTCTTAATAGGTGCCCAGTAAATACTTGTTCAGTGAATAGAGGTGGTGGGTGCAGAAAGCCCTTGTGGAAAGAGGAAGGGGAAGAGTATACTGGGGCAAAGTACATTGTTTGGTTTGGCAATAGAGCAGGGCACAGGCAGTGATATGGTGGAAAATAAGTCTGGATGTAGAGGGAAATGGGAGCTAGATAGGGAAGGATCTTGAATTTTAAAGAATTTGGTCTTGAAAGGGAGTCGAAGTGGTTGCAGGTTTTTGAGGAGAGACTTGACTTGGCAGGTTTTTGGGGAGAGATCAGAGGGGAAAGAGGCTAGGCTTGGAATTCTGTTTCAAGTGGGAGGTGTGAGGATGGTTTCAACTCTTCACGGTATTGAAAGAACAGGATAAAGAAGGAAAAGAGGCCAGCAAAGGAGATATAAAGGGAAATAACAAAAAGTTAGAAGAAAACTAAGCATTTAGTTGTTCCAGAAGCAAAGGGAGATTAAGAGGGCATGGTTGACACCTTCAGAGAGGTTTAGGAAGGTGAGGGACAATAAAAGGCTATGTTTGTTGACAATCTGGACAGGTATCCTAATTATCTAATCACCAGTTGTCTGGTGATATAGGAGAGAGGGTTTGGAGAAGTAGTAAGCACACATGTTAAGAGCAAATGCTTAGTGTGGGAAAGTAAGTGTTGATTCTTCTTTGAGGATATTTGATCATGAAAAGAAGCCAGGTGCAGCGGCTCTTGCCTGTAATCCCAGCACTTTGGGATGCTGAGGCAAGAGGATTGCTTGAGCCCAGGAGTTCGAGACCAGCCTGGGCAACATAGGGAGACCCTGTCTCTACAAAAATATTGAAAATTAGCCAGATGTGGTCACACATGCCTGTAGTCTCAGCTACACAGGAGTTGACATAAGGTTCAAAGAGCAGATGTATGTACAGTTCTTGGAATCATCACCAAATAACCCTGCTGGCTAATTTCATTAAAAATTAAGTTCATTTGTTGTGATCTGTAGCTGCTCCCCTACAAGATTTTACTGTTTCCTCGCATGCCTTTTCTTCCTTTCAGAATGAAAGATCCTCTTCCTTTTCAACATATGCATATTCTGAATGTTAAAACAAAAAGTTGAAAGTTGAATATTTTCAGTTATACTAGAAACTTAATTTCTTTTTGAAATTGTCAGTTTACCCTTTTGCCAGCCATTCTACTGATCCTGTAAAATCACCTAGTTAAAAAATAGAAATTGATAGGAAGGTTGCTCTTTAGTTTCATTTTACATATTAGTTTGGAAGTAACTGTATCTTTTAAAAAATCATGTCAGTAAATATTGAGTAGACTCAGCAAATAATGAAAATGGAAATTTTTTTTCTTCATGAACTATTTTTAATGTGTTATGGTAAGAAACCATTTCTCTGTTACAATTTAAGATTTTTTAAACTTCTGTTTGTATATGAAACACATGTAGAAAAGTATACAAAGATTTAGTACACAACTCTACAAATAAAAAGTTTATAAAAAGTCAACATACCACTATACATTACAAACCCAAACTGTCCCTCTGCACCCCTCCCAATTACTATTAATTTATTTCCCCAAATGTAACCACTATTCTGACACCACAGATGCATTTTGCCTTGCTTTTGAACTATAAGTATTTATAAATATTTTGTGTCTGGCTTCTTTTGTTCAACATATGTTTATGAGATTCATTTGTGTAATTCACATATCTATAATTTATTTCCATTGTTGTTTGGTATTTTTATGAACCTTCTGCAGTTTGTGGTTTTTTTCTTTGATATGGGATTATGCCAAGTTTCCCAGGCCAGAATGCAGGGCTTATTCACAGCATGATCATTACGCACTGCAGCCCTGACCTCAAGCATTTCTCCTGTGTTAGCCTACCAAGTAGCTGGAACTATAGGCATACACCACCACACCAGGCCACATTCCACAATTTATCTTTTCTGCTTTTGCTGGACATTTGGGTTCCTTCCACTTTGGGGCTCTTACAAATAATACTGCTTTGAGGATTCTTATACAATGTCGTTTTATGCATATGTTTATGTGTTTCAGTTGAGTCATAGCATATGTATATAAATATTAAATATTTAAAATGGAAATCAAGACCACTAAGGCACTTACTCATTGTGAGAAATTAGATCAAATTATTTTCTCTTAGACTGATATTTCCCATTTCTGTTTTCTCTTTGACCCTTTCAGGGTTCTGAATGAGTTTATTATGAAAAACCCTAGTCTGGAAAATAAAAAAGACCAAAGAGACCTTCAGGTAAGGCAGTCTGAGTTAAGAACTGTCGCTAAAACTGTTTCTCAGTGCCCTCAATTTGAAAATGAGAGAGTCAAATAAAATAAACTGTGAAGTTTTTTCAACTCAAACATTCTATGGGAATCAGCACTGTCTTTTGTAAAATATTTATTATCAGAAATGTAAACTGCAGAAGTTCATAAGTAGTGTGTAGGTGTGTACATATATAGTTGTTCTTCCTTATTTCTTCAGGATGTAACTCACAAAATAGTGGATGCAATTGGTGCAATTGCTGGTTCTTCTCTGGAACAGACAACATGGCTGCGACGAAATCTTGAAGTTAAGCCTTCTCCCAAAATAATGGTGGATGGAACCAATTTGGAATCTGATGTTGAAGGTATTCCTGTCAAACATTTAGGTTTATTATACACACACACACACACACATAAAACTTGTTTTCTGTGGGAACTAGCCATAACTTTAATTTTCTTTTATTTATAGATATGTTATCACCTGCAATGGAAACCGCAAACATAACTCCTTCTGTATATAGTGTCCATGCATTGACATTACTCTCTGAGGTAAATATTAACAAGCTTTTTCACATGAACTTTCAAGTAGACAGTTTCATTATTAAAAACTAGCAAGTAATTTTTATAGAGGAATTTTTAATTTGAGAGACTATTTTGTACTTCTAGAAATCACTATATAGAATTAACAAAGTTTTTGCCTTGTATGTATTTGGATTATTTAGTTTGCCAAACATTAGTGATAAATTTACATATTGCTCCCGTTCTCCATTTTCTGTTCTTTTTTAAGTGTATGGGTTTTTTTTTTGTTTTTGTTTTTGTTTTTGTTTTTGGAGACAGAATTTCGTTCTTGTTGCCCAGGCTGGAGTGCAATGGCGCGATCTCGGTTCACTGCAACTTCTGCCTCCCAGGCTCAAGTGATTCTCCTCCCTCAGCCTCCTGAGTAGCTGGGACTACAGGCGTGTGCCACCATGCCCAGCTAATTTTTGCATTTTTAGTAGAGATGGGGGTTTCATCATGTTGGCCAGGCTGGTCTCAAACTCCTAACCTCAGGTAATCCTCCTGCCTCTGCTTCCCAAAGTGCTGAGATTATAGGCGTGAGCCACCGCACGCAGCCTAAAGTGTGCTTTTTAAGAAAGGAAAGTGCTTTTGTATTACTATGGTGGGGAGGGGTGGAGGTGATCTAATGATGCCTGTCACTGTAATGTATTTTACAATTTACCAAACATTTTTATGAACATTGTCTGACAGGCTCTCTTTATACCCTATTATACACATGTCATTTTGTTTCTTCTTTGCAGATGTGGCTAGTGACCTTTATAAAGATCAGAACAATAGGACTAAGGTGAAATAGCTGTTAATTGACAGTGTTGGGATTTGAACAGCCCAGTGCAATTGTTTGGTTTTTTTCTAAGCCATATTTTAACTGAGTCAGGGAAAAAGAATACTGTAGTTTCTAGTCCTAAATTCACTTTACTCACTGTCACAGAAGGTTCTTGAACTATTTTCTTTGTTTTACTTTTCTATCTACATTGGAAATGGCAAGATTTAACCATATTTATATCCTATAGTAACAATATACAAAAAAGCTAGATGGTGGCAAAACCCATTAACATAAAAATGATTCAGGAGTATTTAATTTTATATTTTTTAATTTCAAGTAGTCAGGGTTTTCTAACAAACTGAAAATCAGTACTTTGGGATGATGTCAGTTTCAGTTCATAGGTTACTCTTCATTTTTATGTTTTTATAGGTTTTGGCTCATCTTTTGGATATGGTTTTCTATAGTGATGAAAAGGAGCGGGTTATTCCTTTACTTGTAAATATTATGCATTATGTTGTGCCCTACCTCAGAAATCACAGGTACTATTATTATTTAAATGGTTTTTTTTTTTTTTTAAATTAATTCGTGGCCTGTTAGAAACAAGTTCTGTTCCCTTATTGAATTTTTACAAAATGACATTATTTTGTATTTCTAGAATTTTTACAGAATGACATTATTTTTACCTTGAATTATAATTGTTTAAAAAAATTCATATGTTATTTTTCTTATGGTACTTTATTTCATATCTTCATGTCACTGTCTTAGGTAAATGTGAACATTTGTCTATAACTTGATAGGATGATTAAAGTTAGGACATACAGGTTAAGGTTGTTTTTCTTCTTCTTAGTGCACATAATGCCCCTAGTTATCGAGCTTGTGTCCAACTCCTCAGCAGTCTTAGCGGGTATCAGTATACACGAAGAGCTTGGAAAAAAGAAGCTTTTGACCTCTTTATGGATCCCAGTTTCTTTCAGATGGATGCCTCCTGTGTTAATCAGTAAGTTTTTCTCTTGTTTGTATTCAGCATGATAATGTACCTCGCAGTCTGTTGAAATCAGCCACTCTCTTGGACCGGTCAGAATACTGTTCTTTAACAGTAGCAACATAATCTTAATTACATGTTGTAACCTTTATCTCTTTCAGTTGGAGAGCAATCATGGACAATCTGATGACACATGATAAAACAACATTTAGAGATTTGATGAGTGAGTATTATGGGATGACAATCCAATTTCTTTCCTGTGCATGATTCCTTCTTACTGTTTACTCTTTTCTGGAGACTACTGAATTAGCTCTTTGTCAAGTTATACGTAGTACCCTAAGGGAATATAATCTTAAAATTTACAGAGGACAATTTAAGTAGTAAATAATAAGTAAAACTATTTGTCCTTTTGAAGCAACTAGTGGAAGGAAGGGGCTGTCTCTAATTTGACTCTAAATTATTTCCTCAGCACACAGCATCATAACTGGCACTTAATAGCACTCAATAAATAATTATTCAGTTAATGAGAGACTGACAGATGGTGAAGCAGAGAAAGACAGGCAGTTAAATCCCACCTATCAGACAAGTCACTTTAAATCTCTGGGGCTCTGTTTATTTCATCTTAAGGAAGAAAGAGGGGTGCCAAGAAGGACAGAATCACTTTCCATCCCCTCTTTCTATTCTATCTTGATTGGGTTTATAGTGTAGGATTCCATTTATAATTTCATCTGAAAAAGTTTTAGAAAATGTTTGAAAGTTACTAAATAAACTTAAATAGCAGTGACATTGTATGATTCTGTAATATTTTTTTTAACAAATTCTTTAGCCAAAGCTACAGTTTTTTCATTTGGAAAAACGGCAGCATATCTATTTTATCTTCATAGGGTTGTTTTAAGGTTCAGATTTATCCATTCAACAAATGTTTATTACAAGACAGCAGTGGGCCACTCCTTGTGCTAACCTTAATCAAATTTTAAAAAATTATTTCATGGAGTAAGAAGTTGTGAAGAAAATAGGACAGTGTATGATGGATTTGAAATAACAGCTAAACAGCTCATAACAAGGTGAAACTAAAGAAGCCAACCATGAGAAGGCCTAGGGTCAGAATATTCCAGGAATAGGGAACAAAAATTACAAAGGTTGGCTGTGTACAGTGGCTCACGCCTGTAATCATAGCACTTTGATAGGCCAAGGTAGTAGGATTGCTTGAGGCCAGGAGTTTGAGACCAACCTGGGCAAAATAGCAAGACCCCCATCTCTATAAAAAAAAATAAATTAAATTAAATTAAAAATTAGTCTCAACTACTCAGGAGGCAGGAGGATTGCCTGAGCCCAGGTGGTTGAGGCTGCAGTGAGCCATGATTGTGCCACTGCACTTCAGCCTGGGTGACAGAGCAAGATACCATCTCTAAAAATAAAGTAAAAATAAATTACAAAGGTCTGGGGATGGGAGCAAGCTTGGTGCATTGAAGGAATGGCAAGCAAGACAGTGTTGCTAAGCAAAATGAGTCGAGGGTAAGTAATGACATGAGGAAGGAGAGGGAGGTAGGCAAGGCTACACTATAAAGTATTTTTAAAGTAATGAGAAAGATTTAAGCAGATGGCCTCAATTAATAAAAGGGTTTCCTTGGGGTTTTATAAAATGATATTATTAGTGGTTTTACCTTCTAAAACCTACAGTTCTAAATTTTCCTCTGTACATCACAACTTCTACCACTTTGGTCCTCTGGCTTATATATGCTGGATCTGTTTGCCAGTCCATCTGCCCCAGAGAGGGGCGTCAAGTTTTGTACCCCAAGCTCCTCTCAGTTTTGGATGTCCTAGAGCATCTAGCTATTTTTAAAAACAACAGAATAATCTTTTTTCAAATAACAGTGTCACAGTCTCTTTCACTTGCTTTTTCAGCTCGTGTAGCAGTGGCTCAAAGCAGTTCACTTAATCTCTTTGCAAACCGTGATGTGGAGCTAGAACAGAGAGCCATGCTTCTTAAAAGATTAGCATTTGCTATTTTTAGCAGTGAAATTGACCAGTACCAGAAATATCTTCCAGATATACAAGGTAACAAATGAAAAGCCCTTTATTTTCTCTAACTTTAGGTTTTTTTGTTCCTTAGAAAATACTTCTCTAAATTCTAAGTTGGGGTAAAATATATCAAATGTAGATTAATGGGGAATTAGAAATTTTTCTACTGAAACAACAAAAATTATCAATTTGCTGGTATCTAAAAGAAATCATCACCGAGTTGTAAGACGTGCCTAAATGTGGTCTCTCTTTTATTGTTTAGGTCAAATTTCTTAGGAATTCATGTTTGAGGATGAGGTATAAATAAGATGATTTTGCTATTGAGCATGTTAGCATGTTATCCTTGTGGACAAGAGTTTGTATACTCTGATAAGACCAAAATATAAGGCAAAGCCAGGAAATTGTGGCTAGAAGTAATATCCGGAGATCTGTGATTTGGGGATTGCATGGGGGATTATGTAACATTTTTGGTAACCTTCATCAAATGGGTTTGGTGAACTTCTGTGTCCAGAAGGATATCAGTACACACATCTTCACCCTGTACCACCAAACAGCTCCACAAAGAGGACTTATCCAGAGCAGAATTATTTGCTGCTCAAGTCAGCGTACTCTAAAGCCTCCAGCCTCAGTAGCTGACATGGGAACATGATGGTTGTCATCTCTCTAGGGAGAATTTTCTTTTCTCCCAGAAGACAAATGATTCCTTGTTTCCTAACCTTTTATGCCTAATTTCGGATTTACAGCATGTACACTTTTTGTCCCTGTGATTTTTTTGTTTAAGTTGACTGGATCATTGTTACTCAAAGTATGGTCCATGGACCAGTAACGGGTCTGTTATCCCATCCATAAGTACAGAAATTTAGAGTAAACATTTTAAACTTCTGCTATTTGACAGAATCTGCTTAATAAGAAAATGACATTTGTATTCTGTATATCTTTAATTGGAGTTTTCTTATAATTCATTATTTTATGAAAATGCCCACAATAGTTTGGAATTTTTTTAAAGTTTATCTTTCACTACAGATAGTTTGAGAGTACTGGATAAGATGATATAGAAAGTTTTATGTGATAAAGATTATTTAGTTATTGAAAATGCCCTGCATGTCTTTCAGAGAGATTGGTTGAGAGTCTCCGTTTGCCTCAGGTGCCAACTCTCCATTCTCAAGTGTTCCTGTTTTTTAGAGTGTTACTTTTAAGAATGTCTCCCCAGCATCTTACCTCACTCTGGCCTACCATGATTACAGAACTTGTGAGTTAATTTTAATTCAGTCAGATTATAAATCTAAATGATAAAACATTGATTTGTTTCCATGTGCTTACTAGATAAAAATGAATCTTGGGAGAGAAATGAGCTGTAGTTAAACCAGTTACATATACCTTTTACAGTTGAAAATAGTAAAACAAGTCAGATTCCATTTCCATACAGTTGAAATTTACAAATATGCAACGTAGGTGGATGGCCAGCTCCTTGTGAATGATTACTTTCTTGGATATGGTTTAGCGTTTAGTCTGTACTACACTACATTTTTAACTCTGTCATGGCCTGCAGTCCTGCAGCTGGAGCCATTTAGAATAGCTATAGCAATACCTCTAGCGATAGAGATGGCTGAGCTGGATTTAACTGGTCTGACATATATTCACTCTTGAAGTGCAGCACCAGTTAAACTTGCTTCAGAGACTTTCACAAAGATTTTGTAAACTACCAGACAGTAAAACCTTCCCAAGTCCTACCTACACCATTCTGTTCCCCTCCTCAAACCATACCCAGTCATCCTCATTCTCATCAGGATGATTTGAGGAGTTAGGAAAGAGGAATGAGTAAAGAAAGGAAAAGGAATCTATTTCTCTGAAAATCTAGCTTTATACTTTCCCTACAAATGTATTTGCTTCAATATTTCTTTTCTTTTTACTTTTTTAATAATTTTAACTCTGTTCCATAATCACTAAAAACAAAAGCTTGCCTTCATCTCACTGGATTCCACCAAATGATTAGCAGGGCTCTATGTGGCTAAACTTGCAGTTTTACTTTCAGAAACTAAGTATAATTTAAAAGATTCTGAAAGTGTATTCTAAAATCTGCATTTGTGTTAATGAAAATATAACTTAAAGATAACTTAAAGGATTAAATATCCAATTTAAATAAACATTTAACATTTATTTCACCATTTTCAGGTACAGGTATTTTTACTGATGGAGCAGGAACTCACTGCTGATGAAGATATTTCACGGTAATATGTAATTTAAATATATTCTTGTCCATTATTTAATATCCTGAAATTCAGAATATTACTCAGCATCTAGGAGTATATAGATAGTATTTTTCTGAATGCTTAGTCTATTATCTAGTTGATCACGTTTGGATATAATGTAGTTTTACTTATTCCTTAAGCACTTTAGATTGAATTACACCATCAACATTCATTGCCTTGGGTCCCTAGACACAAATTTAGTTTAAAGCAGTACAGTATTGTTTCAGCTACATGAGCTAGGTTGGTTTGAGTAAGTCAGATCTGGTCTCTGAAGCAGATCTTACAGATGGTCCCAATTTAATGTATTTTAATTTTATTCTTTTTAGTAGAGGCAGTTTATTAATATATGACTAAATATAATTTTTTATACAAATTTTTACACAAATTTATAAATTGAAAAGTTCAAGATCAAGTTGGGTATATTTTCTTCTTCAGCAGATTTATAAAAAGGCTCTCCTGTACTAATAACTATGTTTATTATTATAGAGAACAGTCTTGTCTTTGCAGAAAGAAACTAAATAGTAAAGAAGTTTCTTGCTTTTACAGTTTATATTTTTATATTT